GAAGACTTTTCCCCGACCACAATCCTATATATGTTAAGAGAATGAACTTCTTAACGATCGTCTTGCGCCCTTACAACAGCCACATTCTGCAACTCTCTAATATGAGGAACTCTGGAGCCTAATATTGGTTGAACAAAAAAAAAAAAAAAGAAATGTAAAAGATATCTACACAGTTTTGTCTCTGATGTTGAAAGATTCTCTATTCTAGAGTCCTGTAACGTTTTACGAGCAGCGGTCACCTCATGTACCTCAACGGCAGCAACAGCGGTTTGTCTAGAGCAAGCTATCCTCATTGAGCCCAATCCTCTCCAGACTTGTTTGAACTCAGAGTCTTCCAACTCCTAGTCTGGTCGCCAACCAAGACTTATAGGGAAAAGGTTGTCTATCTACTATCCATTGGAGAAGAAATGGCAGTATAACTTGCCGAAGGGTATTTACGCGTCCGTGAATCTAAAGTACTCGACTGAAATTCGAAATTGAATCTCAGATTTTTTCATTCCGAGTCGCTATCTACTACACCACTGTACATCCACAGATTAAGATCAATAAAAGCCAAACGAACTCGATTCTCCGTTGACCGCTGCCTCGTCTAGTAGACTTTCTCAAAAACAGTTTCCCGGAATGGGAAATGTTGATACATATCTCACCAGTAGGGACGGATTTATTTGCGATTTCACGTTGCTTTCTGTATCAGTTAAAGAGAATAACGATCTGTTGAGAGCTAAAACAATTATCAGTAGAAAACGGAATAAAACTAGAAATAAAATTATAGCAATTATGAATTTTGCATAAACCAAGAGTGGTTTCATGAAAAAGAAATATAATAGGATGGAAAAAAAAAACTTGTAGAAAATCATAATTATAATAATTTAGAAACGTTTATCGGACAAGGTATTAAGATAAAAAGTTATAAAAAAAAAAATAAATTCAAACAAATTGACACGAGGTGGCACTTATGAATGAACCTGAAAGCTCTATTAGACAAATATTAAAGGAAAAAAGAAAGAGAGGACTAATGGTTGCGGTATAAATTAACCGTTTCCCTCCAAGGAAACGTTTGGCATTTAGTGATCGAGCAGCCTGTAGTGCTTTCTGTTGAAATTTTAAAAATCTTTCTCTTAAAACAATTTTTACGGAAAATACGTTTCTCAAGTCCAGTAGCTGTTATTTTCTCGTTCCAGTACTAATGGGGTTTTCCTTCGTAACATTTTATTCAAAAGGGTGGGGATTGCTAGCCTCTTGACTTTTTTCATTATTTTCTCTTTTACTTAAATGTGCCATCTATTTTAGCTCTTGCTGCTGTTAGTAATCCTCAAGTGATGTGGTTTCTCTTGTTTGATACAGTTTTTTTTGGCGGGGGGATTCTGTAACGCCGGTCCATAATTTTCAAAGAAATATGGTTTTCGGCAAGACCCTCAAGGTATACCCGCTCAAGACCATTTTAAACTATTGATCTCAAAAAACGATTGAATACAGCTGAGAGTTTAGATATTTCTGAACGGAGTGGGCGTCATTCATAACATGCATATAAAAATCTCTATCTAACGATGATATTTAACAATTTGACTCAAATTTCTAGGCTGTTGCTTTAGTTTCCCAGGTGGAAGAGATAGGTGAAGCTGTCTTTGGCGTATATGTTCAATTTCCTTTTCTACTATACTGATGATTAACTGTAAGAAGATAGAATCCATAATTGTCCGCAAATGAGACAGTCTAAGGTTTGAGCTACATAATATCTGATCTATCTATGTAAGCAGTGAAATAAAAGATAACGAAAAATTACGGCAACTACGAGGTGTGATTATTATTTATCGCATTGCCTTTTGAAAACAAAGTTTGATTGATTACTGCTAAATTCAATCGCCTTCAGAGTAATTCCTTTGGTGACCGATGCACTTTAGTTATTGTCACAGCTGGAAACATTCGTTTTATGGAAGTCATTAATGCAGTCACGATTTGCTGAATGTCATTAATGTCAGCAAATTCTTGGCATTCTTTTAAATTTTGAAAATTCATAAAAATAAATTTTTATGATTATATCCCTCAATTTTGTTTTTGTTAGATAAAATTCACAAAAATGAAATTTTATGATTATATGCTTAAATTTTGTTTTTGACGGATAATATGAATGTCCTATTTTCGTAATATATTTCTTACCCAGGTCCTCGCAAAATCTTAATTATTTTTCCCATTATTAACCATTAACCTTTCCAGATAGGATAAAACATGACACATTGATCCCTAAGGAAGATCTTTTAGGTGCTATGAGAGATAGGGAATACTGGAGAGGTGTAGTGAGTTCAATCTCGGCTGAGGCCGCAAGATGATGATGATTGCCATATTCACGACGTTTCGGCCGTTTTACGCCCCGGCCTTCATCGGGTTAATGAAATTTCGAATTGAACGTTTTATTTCATCTACCAGGGTAGATTGTTCTAGTTCCACTTCATATGCTTCTTCCGGATGCCTGAGTTATCTTCTTTTATATCCCTTTAATTCAAATCTCCAAGTTTTTGTTCACCACTGCAGTAGCCAGGTATTGAACTCACCTCTCTTTGGATCCAACCAACGCTTTTATCTACCGGGATATTAATGTCTTCTTGAGGACATCAGTGTATGAATTTTTGTGATTTATGAAATCATTTTTTTACCATACTGCATTTATTTTATTGTTGCTTTTCTCTAGCACTCCGTATAACTGGTTCCTATATTGTATTCATTTCTATACTTGGTCAACTTAGAGGATTTTTGTGGCCTAGCATATGCCCTGATTTTTTAAGTTTAAGTATTTTCCAGTGATGTTCTCTATTATTTCAAGCTCATCCCACAGGAGGCGGTGATCTCCCTTTTCCCTCCATATGTGGTCAACTAAGCTTGATCTTTATATTTCCCTTCGTGTTACGGCTTTACCATGTTCTTACAGTCTTAACGTAAGGGGGCAGCCTATTTCTCCTTTATATTTCTTACCACAGTTGTACGGGATGGTGTACACACAACCCTTAGTCATGTTCTCGCTATGGGGGTGAGGATTAATCTGAAGAGGTGTCGGCGACCTGTCGAACCATTTTTAAAGGTCTTCCCGATTATATATGAACCACAGATCTTTTGTAATTTCTCCGATAATCCCTTAAGTTTACATCGTAAATATGGCAATGAAAATCAGGACACCAATCCGAACAATGTATAAATATTTAAAATACCTCATCTCAGAAATATAGACATATATTTTTTCCGAATTTTCATTCCTAAAATCACCGGGACCTGCGTATGACGACAATCTACATCCGGCACCAAGGCCTCTAATCATGAGGTTTCCTGAAGCGTGGAACCACCTTTAATTGCTGTTGTTCCCAGGTACAGCCTGTTCTGGGGTGGTAACAACTGTTAGGGTCCCAGCTATAGGCAAATAGTTAACCTCTAAACTGGGGTCAAAACACTATGAAGGTATAAATATAATTTCTTTTAGTAAAAATATTAGTAACACATTTTGGAAAAAATATATTACCAGAAATACATTTAAAAAAATACCAGCAATGCATTTCATCCTCTACAAACATGCCTTTCTACAAACATTCTTTCCAAAAATACGTCAATGAAACCTGATCTACAAATTGAATTCTTACAATGAATGCATATTCTATTCATACGAACCTATCCTAAAAATCTTGTCGGCATTAAATAATCCATTGAGAACGATATGGCGTAAAACAAAATAAATCAAACAAAAAATTAATCACCTACTGTTAACAAACAGAAAGAGATAGCAGACATCTGTGCCACGCAAAACATGGAAATAAGGCGTGGAGATTTTAACACACTCAAACAAGAAAACAGGAAAACAACCTGTATGACAGAAGAATATACACGTGAGAAAACATGGAAGAATACTAAAGAGAACAAATTGTACAGAAACAAACAAAACATTGGAAACTGTCGAATGCAATATACAATGGCATCCAAAAAGTCTAGAGGATGGTTTATAGAAAACTGAAGAGTGATGTCGAGTCCAATTACAGCTGGAGCGCCTCTTCACCTGCATAAACACATCTGGAAAGGCATGAATACATTTCTCCATGTATCTATCTACGATGACACCATGTTTGCTTCGACTTTTTGCACATGCGCACTGATATTCAATTTCATTGTTTGGCAATATCTAGGGAGTGTGCGAAAAAGACTTTGTTAGAAACAAAGAAATGACTACTGAACTCTTAATGTCAGCCCTCTTGTATGAAAGTGAGTGGTAGACAATCTCGTTACAAATGAAGTGGAGACTTGAAGCAACAGAAATGTGGTTCTACAGAAAGACGCTTGGAAAAAAAGATATTGGAACAGCTTTTAGGAGAGATAAAAAAGACATTTTTAAGAGGTACAAATGATAGGGAATTGTGGAGAGCTAGGATCACCAACGACCTGTACGGGCACTTCCTAAGAAGAAGAAGAAGAAGAAGAAGAAGAAGAAGAAGAATCTGGATGAGCCTCCGATTTTTTTTAGCAAAATGGTTTTATTGCGTAAATTCCGGTATTATTAAACACTCATCTATGGATTAACGCAGCTGCTAACACTCCTTACAAATGGCATCTTTCCATTATTCGCCCCTCCTTAGTTGGGTATGAGTTATCGACAACATTTTCTCTGTGTGTGTTAAGGTGTGTGAATGCTGAGGAATTATCTTTCACAAAAAAACCTATTACACAACGGTCAGATAAAGATTAATCTGTGCCCCAGTTTATTCAGACCGTAGTAAACGATAGCATTTCTCAAAACATATTTTAGGTATTTACATCTAAAATGTTAAATTATTATATCTTATGAATGTGTAATTCGGATCCCGCATTTTAGATTCATTAGAGTCTTATAGTAAGATAACTATGGAAGTAATAAAATCCATGACGTCAAAAATGAAGTACAGAATATTTTCTTAAGTTCTTATGAATTAGTTTGCTAGCTAGCTAGATAAATAGATAGATATGTGTAAGGAAAGAAATTAGCACGACATTTATGAAAGTAGACAGATAGATAGATAGATAGATAGATAGATAGATAGATAGATAGATATGCTGAAGAGAGAAGCTATCCCGATAGATATGAAATTAAATTGATTTGAAAGTAGATAGATAGATAGATAGATAGATATGCTGAAGAGAGAAGCTATCCCGATAGATATGAAATTAAATTGATTTGAAAGTAGATAGATAGATAGATAGATAGATATGCTTAAGAGAGAAGCTATCCCGATAGATATGAAATTAAATTGATTTGAAAGTAGATAGATAGATAGATAGATAGATAGATAGATAGATAGATAGATAGATATGATAAAGAGAGAAGCTATCCCGATAAATGTGAAATTAAATTTATTTGAAAGTAGATAGATAGATAGATAGATAGATATGCTGAAGAGAGAAGCTATCCCGATAGATATGAAATTAAATTGATTTGAAAGTAGATAGATAGATAGATAGATATGCTGAAGAGAGAAGCTATCCCGATAGATATGAAATTAAATTGATTTGAAAGGAGATAGATAGATAGATAGATAGATATGCTGAAGAGAGAAGCTATCCCGATAGATATGAAATTAAATTGATTTGAAAGTAGATAGATAGATAGATATGCTGAAGAGAGAAGCGATCCCGATACATATGAAATTAAATTGATTTGAAAGTAGATAGATAGATAGATAGATAGATAGATATGCTGAAGAGAGAAGCTATTCCGATAGATATGAAATTAAATTGATCTGAAAGTAGATAGATAGATAGATAGATATGCTGAAGAGAGAAGCTATCCCGATAGATATGAAATTAAATTGATTTGAAAGTAGATAGATAGATAGATAGATAGATAGATAGATAGATAGATAGATATGCTGAAGAGAGAAGCTATCCCGATAGACATGAAATTAAATTGATATGAAAATAGATAGATAGATATGTGCAAAGAGAATTTAGAAAGATAGATATGAAAGTATATAGATAGATAGGTAGCCAGATATAAACAACATAGATAGATAGATAGATAGATAGATAGATAGATAGATAGATAGATAGAATCATAGTGACATGCTACTCAGCTACTTTTTTTCAGCAAACGGACTCGTCTCCATTTAACCTTGAACAATTTGCTCAAGTATGTTCATTCTTCATGCTGGCCGGATGTGAACGCAACGAAAGCAGAGAACGAATGAAAAAAAAAAGTTGTTTCCTATGCCTTTGGCTTCACGCATCACATCCGGTTTAACGAAACCAGCTCCAGCTGTGGCCAATCGCAAACATTCCCGACGGAAAAAAAATAAAAAAATGCCCCTGGAGACTACCAAACCTGCTTAAAAGCAGGTCTCTGAGGTCTACCGGGTAGTTGCGTTCCGGCTAGCCAACGTAACTGCTGTCGCTCCCGCCGCCGCCGCCGCCGCCGCCGCCGCCGCCGCCGCCGCCGCTACCTCCACTCAAAATTACTGTACCTCTCAACGACCGTTACCACTCCCAGGCTTGAATGTCCACCCCGACTATCCAGCTTCGTCACCTCTCAGCTACAAATCTTCAACGCTGTCACCTCCGCATTTACCGACAGGATACCATCTCTACTTCGGCACCTCTCAGCTGTTCCCGAAAAGAAAGACAGGATGTGGGACGAGGTGATGGTGGTGCAGTATCCGGATCTCCAATTATCATCTGCAGCGACCACCAGTGATTATCTGCCACGATCATGATCATCTGCAGGGAGCATAGACAACCAGAGCGATCATCTGCAACGATGAACGATTATCTTCAGCAACCACCAACGATTATCAGCGATCGGCAATCACCAGCGACCAACTGGATCCCGCCGACTACGCATTCGATTCAGGTGTCGCTTCTTGCTGCTTACCATCTCGAATATCACAAGTGGTTTCACACCGCCTAGCCTCGGCTACGACTGCTTGATATAACAACCCAATACACCAACTGTTTGTCAACTTTCGGCATCGTGTTCTTCGGTCATCATTAACTGTCGATGCATCTAAGATCGACAGTTAACGACCAGAACGACCACCCAGGATATTTAAAATATCTGGATTCTTCGATTGTATTTTCTTTTTTTTCTGACAATAATACATTTTTGGCATATTTTATCAAAACTTCTTGTTTTCATTATCCTTGCCTTGGTCTGTTCACTTCTGCAATCATAATGTTTGTGTGGTTCGTCTAACATTGACATTCGGACAATGCAAAAATAGATTGATATGTTGAAGTGATAAACTATCCCGGCAGATATAAAGTAAATATATATGAAAGCAGATAGATAGATAGATAGATAGATAGATAGTGCAAAGAGAATTTAGCTAGATACATATGAAAGTAGATAGATAGATTTTACACACATTACAAATTAGATAGATAAATAGAATGAAACAAACAAAAATATTACAAGGGTTGAAAGGGAGATAGATAGATAGATAGATAGATAGATAGATAGATAGATAGATATGTGCAAAGAGAGCAGATAGATTTTACACACATAACAAAGTAGATAGATAAATAGAATGAAACAAAAATATTACACGCATTGAAAAGGAAATAGATAGATAGATAGATAGATAGATAGATAGATAGATAGATATGATTACAGATGCATACGCATGTTAACTATGTCTTGGAGAAAATCAAATACATATTAGGAAGATTGTGATTCCTTATTTGTTTAAATAATCTGTTTTTAAAATCTGAACATTCCAATTTAAATATAGATGATTTATATTGCCTCAGGTAATTGATAACAAATTATAATATAATGTGACACTTAATATTCAACAGAAAATTCAATATGTGTCTGAAAATCATTAAACGCCTACTCAACATCAGAACAAGAGAAAAAATATTCACAGCAACCGCTCTCGGTTTCGATGGCGGCTCTGATGCATCCTGGGAATCGACTATATAACGAGGTCACTTTGTTTTAATTTCTTTTGGCCTAAACGATAAGGACGGCAGCTTTCAATGAGTTCTTTTCATGTGGCGCCGCTGTTTAATCTGATTTCGTAGACGATCAAGCATTAGTGGTTCATGCTTTTCAAAGTAGTTGTAGATAGTAGTAGACATCCATTTATCTCAGGAGATAATGGTAGCACCCTTTTCGGTCAAATATTGTCCTCTTGCCAGCAGTGTTTGGAGGGACTTAAAACAAAGCAATTTTTGCATGATATGCTCTTCCGCAGGTATGACAGATGAAGCTGCAAATGTCGAATGGATTTTTTGATTTTATTCTGTCCGCTTCTTTCGTTCACTTCTCATCTCCAACAGTTGCATTCTCCTTTTCCTGGTCTTCCTGAATCTTTCATGAACAGCAAATTGCCAGCCGCTGCGATCGTCCGCTAGCTGTTCTCAACTACCAGAGTCGATTCTAGTACGTTACAGGACCCTCATGAAAACGTCCTTGAAACGTAACGTGCTGAAGCCAGCTAACCGTGCCTGATGCATTTTGGTATACATATATCATTCATACGAAGTACGTGCCAAAGCCTTCGAAGTAGGAAATATAATATTATTAAAAAAGAAAAAAATCAATTAGAAATCATAATTTTATTTAAACATTGATTATCGGTTAATTTTTTTTTTTCATTATATTTTCAAATTTAAAATTTTTCTTTCAAAGAAAGTAGTTATGTGGATGATGTTAAAGATAGCGGCTAGGGATGGGGATTTTCTAAGCGTGGCTTAGATATGGCACAAGGCCGAAAATTTAGGGCATTCAGCGAGACTTGAAAACACTATTCAATCGTGATTGATATTGCGAGAAAAGCTTGCTAAACATTACGACACTTCGAAGTGCCAAAATGATTTGCCAATAACAGCTAAGATGGGGCGGAAAGTCGAAAGTATGGAGCACCCAGTAGTTAGTGAACTCGATCCAGTGAGGATCGAATTCACTAATCAGTTGCAATCGATCCAGCGAGACAAGCTTGTAAACCATTACACCAGGTCGGAGTGCACATAGCGACACGAAATAAGAAATCGTAGAGAGGAGTTCGGAATCAATTTGTGTTTGTTACATTCGCATACGAGTAAATATTCTTGGGAAAGGTACGAATCCATCTTTCCTCCCCTAACTATGAGTTAAATAATAGGTCTTGTCTGTAGAGAAATATTTGTTATTTTCAAAAATTTCCATAATGCAATATTTATTCGCATAACAAACAAACAAACAAAAAATAGAATTATTATTACAGAATAGGAAGACCATGGTCAAAGTGGTCAGCGATTGGCTAGAGTGCTTTGTGGGCAGGGTTTTTTGAAAGTAATCGATTGCCTTTGTCTGTGTTTTGAATACAATTACAAAACGGCGCGAATTAAACAAATGGTCTCAAGATTTCTGAAGCGTCTATATGCCTCCCACACCCAGGTTTGGGACCGGCTAATACCACTCACGGAGGAACGCTGAGCCTACGTGCGACATGTGTTTCTGTAACGTTATTCTTCTTACTGCCTCAGAGAATCCAAGCTGCAACTCTTAATAAAACAAATACCAAAACTAAATGGCCCTCTTCGTTGATAACATTTTATGTAGTAGCGTGAGGATTCCGAGACGACACACAATGCAGCATTATTCTTACATTTTAAAATATTTTGCGCCTTTAAATAACCCACAAAGAAATCAATCAATAAATAATCCCAAGAGAAAATAGCTTTAATGAGGTAGTCAGTGAGTATCGAAAGCATGAAAGAAAAGTTGGGTTGCGTGACGATTTGCTATTTTTTTTTCTTCGGTAGTGTTATTTTCACTTTCCGTAGCTCAGTTTGTTGCATCGCCTCCGTAGGAGGGTGCAGAAAGATATTGGAAAACGTCTAAGAGCCTAGCCATCGTATACATGCTATCGAAGAAACTGAGGATATTGACGTTGACACTAATAATAATTGTAGTCATAAACGTTTTACTAATTACTCCATAACTGGGGAGAGCAAAAGTGGAGCCATACCTTTCTCACGGGTCTTTGCCCAATGAACCCATCTGAAACCGGAATTAACAATTGCGAGCCATTATCAATTAAGTTACCTGCAGATTTCAGCACGCGCTATTCTCAAGCGTTCACCCATCAAAATACTGAACTGGCTCGAAGATGCTTAACTTCGATGATCGTATGCAATATTTTCAACGCTATATGTTCGTAAACCTTAATACTATAATAAAACCCAGTATTATTTATAAGTTTCTAAAATATTCTGGGATTATTCAAGTTTTACTAATTACTCCATAACAAGGGAGTCATACCTTTCTCACGGTTTTTCTTTTTTTCTTAAGTGAATATAACGAACCCAACTGAAAGTTGAATTAACACTTGTGAGCGATTATCAATTATATCAGCTGGAGATCCAAGCTTTCAGCATGCGCTAATCCAGAGCAGTCACACATCTAGGTGCTGACAATGCTCAAAATTTTCAATGATCGTACCCGATACTTTCAACGCTATCTGTTTGTAAACCTTAATAGAATAATAAAACACAGTTTTATTTCTAGGTTTCTAAAATATTCTGCGATTATCTATAGGTTTGGAAATCGTTTACAAATATTTATTGACGCTGACTGACGTCGGATGAAGTGGTGCTACATGACATGACATGGCCTTTGTTTCCTAATAGCACTAGCACCAATGTTACATATGTGTAGTCCGCAATGAAGTTACATGTTGTTTCTTCAGTTGACCTGTCCACTTTCGGGAATCTCGCAATCTTCGACTCATAGTTGCTATGGGGTGATACCAAGATCACAGCGAGCCATTTCATTTCCTCCAGTAGACTGGAAGCTGTTGATGCTCTCGATGTGTTCGAAAGAAAAAGAGACCGTTAAAAGTTGTATTATGACGTCTTCCATTCATGGCCAGGTAAACATGAGTTCTTAAATACCTGTTTTTCCCCCATATATATATATATATATATATATATATATATATATATATATATATATATATATATATATATATATATATATATGTGTGAAGAAATATAATCTAAGATGTGCTACATTTATGGAATAAAGTGCTCAATATCAGAGATAGAGCGGGTGTAAATATAAACGTGAACATAGAAGTCAACACTTAGAGGCGACAGTCTATTTCATGCTAGAAACAATCGTAAGGCCATATATATATATATATATATATATATATATATATATATATTTCTAATGGGTAGTCGTAATTAAAAAATAGCATATTTATTTATTTTCGTCTAAAAATATGAGTTTAAATATGTATTTAAATAAGTTTTTAAAGACACCATTCAACTTTGCTTGGTCATGGACGCACTCCATAGCTAAGAGGTCCAACTCTCCTCAGATCTAATAACGTTGTCCCAGGTTTGAATCCTACGGGGAGCACGTATTTTTCTGTAATAAGATTTCTCGAATATTCAGGCCGGTAGACGAAAAAGATAAATATACAGTTTAAGAAATAGAGAAAGTGCTTTCTCAAATACGAATAACCATTAAATTAATTATATATATATATATATATATATATATATATATATATATATATATGACATTATTCCAGAATTTGAAGATGAACGTGTGATCATATTAGAGATAACACCGTGTGAAAGTTATCAATTCAACCACCTCTCTGTCTCTAATATTGGTTGAATAGAAAGGTAGACAGGGATCTCTAGCCTTGAATGGCAGAGGGTCTAGGTAAAGGAACACTGCTATTTCGAAACCCTAGATAAGTCAATTGCAAAATATTCTATTCCCCTTTTCAAGAATTCATGGCAATTCCCAGATAAAAGTCGTGCTGGGTATGACGACAAACTACATCCGGCAGCAAGGCTTCTGATCTGGACATTTTGTGGAGCATGAAACTTCATCTTAATTGGTTCCCAGGTCCACCCTGAACCGTGATTGTTACACCAATTAGTCTCCCAACTATGGGCAAATAATTACCCCCCACAGCAAACTGGCGTCAAAATACTATGAAAAATACTATGAAAGTATAAAAATAATTTTTTATATTAAAATACCACCAATACCTTTTAATGAAAAAATAATTCCTCGCAATACTTTTAAAAATAATATTTCCAGCAATACATTTTGGTGAAATATTTTTATGCAATAAAGATTGGGCATTATATTTTTGGAAAATAAAATCTTACCGGCAATACTTTTTTGAAAAATAATATTACCAGCAATACATTTGAATCTCGACAAATACCCTTTTTACAAAAATACGTCAATGAAATCTGATCTACAAATTGATTTCATACAAAGAATATATATTCTATTCGTACGAACTTCTCGTAAAATTCTTTTCGGCATTAAATAACTCATTGAGGTTGATATGCCGTAAACCAAAATAATTCAAAATATAAAACCAAGCCACATAACGGAATATGTAAATAGCCAAGAAAAAATCCTGTATACTTAGCACAATATAAAAAAAAATAATAATTTATGATTAACGTCTGTTTTAGAATTTCAATTTCAATCTTCAATATGAAGCTGAAAATTTATCGACTCGACCAAGGAGATTTAAAAAAAATGTGATGTATGAATAGTTGATCACACTTTTCAATAAACGTTTATATATATGTTCTGTCAATGCGCATGCGCGTGTAATGTATGTCATCTTTTTTCCGTATTTATTCATTCGATACAGGTTTTCCGTCACAAGGGAACTGTAATTTCACAAATGAAGGAAAGGCAAGGAAAATATTATTCCCGATATCCAGCTCTTTTATAATCAATTCTTTCGTATCAGTTACCATCAGGAGACACAGGAGGAGGTATTGTTTTCCACTTTTCATTCGTGACTTCGTTACCATTTTGTATTCGTATTTTCTCTTTCGCATCGATGTTTCCGTTCTCCTTCTCACTCCCTTTCTCCTTCTATTAACCTGTGATTTTTTTCTCTTTTCAACTTTCACCTTTCTAGCATGTGTTTTCTCATTACCTCTCTCTCTCTCTCTCTCTCTCTCTCTCTCTCTCTCTCTCTCTCTCAGTATAACTTCAGTTCTTCTTTTCGTAACTTCATCTGTTTCTTGTCTAACCTCCATCTTATTTCTTTTTTATATTTTATAATTCAGAATTTTCGGCTTACAGATCAAACCCATTAACCTACACTGAGAAATAAGTTATCAATTATAAATATGAAAAAAAAAATTCTGATTTATTTATACGTTCCTAATCTTGTATTATCTCGAGGTTTATAATAGTTTTATAAACATCTTATATTTTAATATTAAAAATATTTCATTTTTTATAATATAAAGCTCTTATTTAATATTGTAAAGTATTCTTTCGTACCTCAAGTTTATGAATTTAAACGCAGTACTAGAATGGCAGTTAGGGCTCTACATTTTACAGATGAAATTAGATATATCCATAAGTTCTATGCTAACAGTTTCTCGTCTTGTCAATGGCTTTTTCTTTCGAGTCAAATTTCATCTTCAAAAATTGAAATCTATCAGAAAGAAATCAGTTATTTACGGTTAAATAGTTTAAATAAAGCACTTACAATATATTATATATATATTATTTATATTATATTATATCCCGTGTTAATAATGATTGATCGATTCATTTTGTACGGCTTATCAACATTTTGCAGCTTATCTAAAGACGAAAAAGGATTTTCGATTATGGAATTATTTTGGAGATAATAATGCTTGCAGAAGATTTATTAAGTGAGAAAACAGTTGGATTCATAGCTTTCCCAGTTCTCTTTGCTCGTAAGTGCAAAATTGGAACTAAGTCCTCTGATTAACAATTACGAGACATTATCAATTATATCACCTGCGCATCCAAGCTTTCAGCATGCTTGTCTTCCAAAGTTCTCAGCGATCTTGATACTGACCAGGCCCGACGTTGTTTAACTTAGGTGATCGTATGCGTATCAGTTTTTCTACGCTATACCACTTTTGATACTGCAATAAATAATCCAGCTTTATTTATAGGTTTCTAAAATAATCTGGTATTATCTATAAATTTGTAATAGTTTTATAAACATTTTTTTAGTCTAATTTTATATATATTTTATTTTTAATATTATAAAGCTCATATTTAATATTTTATAAAGCATTCTTCGGTACCTCAACTTTACAAATTTAATTTTAAAATGTCTCTTTTTTTCGGGTGAAATGGTTAGTTCTATGCTAACGTTTTCTTCATTTGCCATTCTCGCTTGTGGAACATACTTCTGGCTTCTTACTTTCCAGTCGGTCTTTGATATTCAAAAATTTAAATCTAATGCCAATCGTCATCTACTGTCTTCTTTTCCTTTTATTGTCTTCTTTAATAACTTTCCTCACTTGCCCGTAATAAAGGTTCATCTCAGACTCTTCGACTGTCAGTAATGCCTTGCGTTTTAGCAGTTTATCGCCTTCCTTGGGATGAAGTAATTAAAAGAAATTATCAGTATTAATTATAGGTCTACAAAAATACCATATTAATTGCAAGTTTATTAAAAAGACATTATTAATAAAGAAATTAATATAGAAGTTAATTATGTAATTATAAAACATCGCTGTTTATTATAGGCTAATAAAAAAATCCTATATTAAATATAGAAATTAATATAAACATCCGGTATTAATTACAGTTTTCTAAAATAAAATCTGGAATTAATTATAGTGATTTTCCAAGCGTGGCTTAGATATGGCACAAGACCGAAAGTAGGGGGCACCCAGTGGGGATCGAACCCACTACTCAGTCGTAATTTTTCTAGCGAGACAAGCTCGCTAACCATTACGATATTTATTTCTGCGAAATATACAGAAAATGTGGCACAAAGCCTAAGAGAGGGGGATGGGGGGAAAGGACGGTCTTCATCTGTCTTAATTTTAAACTTAGCTAAACACACGCACTGACACAAACTGTGGCGGACATGAGACAGAACCTGGGACGAGCACAACTGGTCGCGACTTGCCTTGTCCCTGCCAAAAATGAGCCCGTATTTGCTTAGCATGTAAAGCTACTGCAGTTGAAATGAGGGAGAAAAAAAGCACTTACCGCTCTGCCGTAATCCGTCCTCGGCTAAATAACGTAAAAGAATGAGAGAGGGACTTGCATTGCATTTTTATGCAATAAAGATGCAATGTATTATGGGACATGGACGCAATGAATTATGGGATCACATGAAGACGCAAGGGATTA